CAAGGTCACACTGTGGTTTCCATGGCCAAGGGAGGGTTTGGACCTTGGTGATCTGGAGTCCTAATGCAACATTCAAATCACTACAGCACACTGATTCTCCTAAGTGCTGAGATAAGGGAATAATTCAGACACTTCACTTACGGGTCTTCACTTTCTCTGTAGGACCTAGGATTTGCCAATGTTCAGGGCCAGCTCATTTCCCCCACACATCTCTTTCCAATCCATCTCCATCAGCATCACAAAGAGGACTACAAATCCTGTTTCAGCAACAGCAACAGACAATAACTGGAGACGAGTAGCTGAAACAGGAAAAATGCTGGCTGGGATTTTGGAAATTCTTTCCAAGCTCTGACACCTAGCTATGGATTATTCCCCTAGAGTCGGACATTTTTTCACCAAATATAAAATACCTGCAGAATGGAAAAACCTGGATCTTGGGATAGAGTATCCTGAAAGAAGGAATAGCTGATTGTATGACTAAAACCCTGAAGATGAGCAATTTTGTTGCAACATTTCGTTACAGATATAATTTCAATCAGTCAGTTTGCTTGTATAGAGCCAAGAGAAAAATAAAAGAAATCCAGTTACAGGGCTGGGAATCCACTTTTGGCTGGTAGTTTTTATGTTGGTGGGGCAATGAATTCCCTACAGGTTTTAGACCAAATTTTAAAGTAGCTTTCAAAGTTCTGAATTCTATCCCATACAATTTACTTTTAAAATTCAGATTAAAATCTGGAGCAAACTCATCACCGCACTAACACAGAAGGCATCAGCTGCCCCTAGGGGAAACTCAACATTGTTCTTCACAATTTGCTATTGTTTATTTAGTTTAGATTAATACAATATTCTTTGATGATCTTCCTTCCATTCCCCAACTTCCCATAATAAACATAATTATAATAGTGCATTAAGCAAGGCTTTCTTCATGTTTCAAACATGAAAGATGAGGCACATCGCTGCATTAAGGATATGAATCTTCATCCACAGCTACCAGAATTCATTAAAGTTGAATGAGACCAAAAAAATGTTCTTTTTTCTTCATTTCAAATACTAATAATCTTTACTTAATTTCTCAGAGATGATATTATCCATTAAAAATGAAATGTAAATGTTAATAAGACAACTGATGTCTCCTAAGCTTTGTTAAACACAATAGCTGTGAAATTATAATTTTCATTAGAGATTGGATGAATCTGGTCACAACACAGACGCTGGGGAAAAACTGGAGTCTTTAATCTGCTAACTACATGCCATTACTGTTAAAGACTTTTGGCTTCCTTAAAAGAAATAATATAATTTATTTAACAAATGTATATAAATGCAGCAATGAAGACATTTCTCCAACTGCATGTGTTTAAAATGAACCCAGAAATAAAGCAGCATATGAAGGCCTGTGGGTAATCTGCTTACACGACTAAAGATTACAGAAGGAGTAGGAATCATACGTTCATCCAGATGTTGCTGCACTGCAGGTCCCAGCATTCTTCACCAATAGCTATATTGACTAATGCTGCTAGGAGCTGCAATGTGAGAACAGGGCCACCCTTGGATTACACCCTTGGAGGAAACAGAGGGATCTGAGGGTGTCTTCTGGCTGTAATTCTAGGGCTTCCCAAGACCATTTGATACCAAAAACTAGCATACATTACTTTTATTAGATTTATGAGTGGCAGGTGATGTAGCAGGTGGTCTATAGCAGAGGAAAACACCAAGGTTCTGTAGCTGATGGGTTTAGGGGAATCACTAGGGGGTGCGAGGGGGGGTGTAGACCACACAAGGTGACACCCTAAGAGTTGAGTGACACCACTGCTCCCCTAACATCTGCCTTTTGGCAGAAATAGGTTGCAGTGTTCATCTGCATACATTTAAAATGTTAGAACTCAGCAGAAGAGATGGTGTGAGTGGGGTCAGACTCAGTGGGAGGAGAAATGATATACATCAGAGTTTTTAAAAATTAAAACTCTATTATTCTTTTAAAATTTTATTTGAAAACATCATATCTTACCTTATTTTATTTTATTTTTTACTTTAACCACTTGAAACTATGTACATGTAAATACATTTAGGCTGTGCATATAATATTGTAATTTAAAGATATAATTTTAATTTTGCTTGTTGTTTATGTCATTGCTATCACATTCAGCAACATACAAGAATTACGGTTGCAACCCTTCAAGCTAGGACTGGCTTGAAAATGTATTGATAATTTTAAACCTATTCTACAACATACTGAAAATTGATTGTTTCAATACATTTATTTATTTTTACATTTATTTCTGGTGAAATGGTGAAATAAATAAGAATGTCTTGCAGAAACTCAACCAGGTGGGATTCATACTGAGGTACCTGCATCTTGGGGCTCATTTACAACAGCCAGAATATTCCAGGCAGCCGTGAATATTCCAGGCAGCCAGTTACTTATGCACTCCAGAATGATGCTGGGATGTCTACACACAAGTACCCCCCACTATCCAACATCAGCACTGCTGATGCATATCACTCCCTCTGAGGTCAGAAACAAGGTGCCAGTGGGTTTCCATGGTTCAGTGGGAATTGAATCCTGATCTCCAAAGTCATAGTTCAACACTCAAATCACTGCACCATAGTTCAACACTCAAACCACACTGGCTCTCCTTGCCCAGTCTAATGATGTTTTATTCCAAACCAAATCCACATTTTTAAAAGCTGTCCCATACCAGATTTAAGGAGAAAGGAGGGGGAAACCAGAGCTTAATACTTCTTCATATGAATATCTAGTCAGAAATAATGCTCACTGAATTCTTTAGAACCTTCTTCCTTGTAAATCTAAAATGAAATGAATAATCAAAAGCAAGGTTGAGAGGGGGAGATATTTCACAAAACCATTTCCCTTTCAACCACCTACCTGGTCAGTGTTACCAGTTTCTCCATAAATTCTACTTTATGCACACAGTAACTTCAGGGTTTTTTTATTATTATTTCTCAAAGTTTGGCAATATGATCCACTGATCAAAAACCACACATAATGGGGAAAATGCATATGAAAGAGCCAGCATGGTATAGTGGTTTGAATGTTGGATTAAGACTCTGGAGGCCAGGGTTCGATTCCCAGCTTGACCATGGAAACCCACTGGGTGACTTTGGGCAAGTCACATTCTCTCAGACTCAGGGGAAGGCAACAGTAAACCTCCTCTGGAAAAAAAAAATCCCCTTCTCCCAAATTATAGGTTTCCCCTTAGGATCATCAGAAGTTGGAAGTGACTTGAAGGCATGCAACAATGCCAACGTATATACAGTACACAAAAAGGCCTATAGAGGGAAGTGCTTGCAAAAATGTGCCGAATAGGTAAAAAAAAGTCTATCAAAATGCCCACAAATTTTTCAGCCTCCTGAAAATGCACTTGCATTTTTATATGGATGATTTATTTTAAAAAAATTGCAAACTGATGCAAAAACTAATATATCTGTCTATCTATCTGCTTATCTAATCTATCAACCTAGAAATCAGCTATCTAAGGAGATTATCACATTGACATAAAATCCGACTGCTCCCCAATGGGATACAGTCGGGTTGCCGGTTGCTACCAGGTATTATCAGATGTAATTCACAGCCGCTGCCACCAGGCAAGTCCAACCCAGTTGCAACCTGGGTCCCAGGTGTCCTTTGGAGGCTGCTTTTCCAAAATGGCAAGTTTCCAGCTTGGAAAAGTGGCCTTTGAAGCATGCCTGGGACCCAGGATGCAGCTGGGTTGCACACGCCCATAATAGCAGTGGCAAATTATTTCTGATAATACCTGGTAGCAACCCACAACCTGACTGTATCCTGTTGGAGAGCAGTTGGATTATATGTCAATTTGATAATCTCCTATCATCCCACCTTTCTTCCAGGGCTGGACCCAAGATGGCTTACAACATGAATTAAAACAAAATACAGCCAAAAGCAATCAGCTATAATACAGAAGAACAATTTGAAAAACAATTACATAAAACCAGTTAAAATCAAGTACTAAATAAAAAATGTTTAGAAGCATAAAATATGGAGCCTACATACACATTAAAAGAGCCACAGCACCTGATTAGGGGAAGTGGATTCGTACTTGGTGAAATCCAAACATTACAGAAAGTAAAGCATGTTCTTTCATTCCTACTGGTGACTAGGTGTCTGGTGCCCCTGTGATGGGCCCTCTTTTAGGAAGGATACTGGCTGTCTCGATATTCAGTGGCACTGGCAACATGCAGGTCCTTTCTTGCCTCACCCACTATTCAAATATTTCAATGTGATTTTTCTTCTCCCTCAGATGGAGAATAAATCTTTTCTCCCTGCTGCTATAGACAAAAGAGCTAGCAAGCCCTACTCTTATGCAAAGGTTTAAACTGGACTGAGATTGCTTGTGAACCAGGTGCCAAAGTACACAACATTTTACCCAATGAAGCTAAGATGTATATGGCTGCTGTTATAACAAGATCAGACTATTCATCCATGTAATGACCATCATCCTACTTCTGTGGTGTGTGGAGCCGATTAATGTTCTCCATTTGCGTACACACACATTGGACACACACAGAGGCATGCAGCTCATTATTTATTGAACAACAACGGCATGGTTCCCTCATTATTGTGGTCAAAAATGATCTTTTTGACAATCACGCTTTGGGCAAACAGCACCCAATGTTTTGCTACTCTGATCATCACAAATCCGCAGGTTTCTGCAGAACATTCATGATGACTCCGGGTGATGAGCATGAAATTTAATTTGCACTAATCGATCTGAGGCAAGGGGGGCATGAAATTAACCTGACGCATTAATTTTACATTTTGCAGCACCTATTTGTCACTCTAAATAAGAGTAAATGGCCGGCTCAGTAAAGATTGGCCTCCTAAGCCAAGAACTATGATACACAATTAATGTATAGATTTTACATACCATGTAGCTAACTGTACACAGCAGAATAGTTAACTTATGGAATTCACAGCGATGCAAGGCAGTGATGACCACTAACATAGATGGAAAATTCCTGAAGGATAAATCAATGGCTGTTAACCAAAAAAGGTGATATGAAGGCTTTCTGAGGTTCTGAGGATCCGAACTCAGTTGTACCTAGAATATGGATACTGAAGAAACCCAGAGCCAATAACTAACTCAACTCGCATTTGATTTTAATGGACTAGGGCTGCTATCACACTGCAGAATTAACAAAGTTTGACACCACTTAAACTGTCAGGGCTCCATCCTATGCAGTCCCTAGATTTGTAGTTTGTTGTTGCACCAGAGCTCTCTGGCAGAGAAGACTAAGAGCCCCATGCACACAGCCTGTAAGGGGTAGCTCTGGGCCACCCCTGGGAGCAGCAGATCAGGGCTGCAGCAACCCAAAAGAGTGGGCAAATGCTGCTCCTTTTGGGGGTGGCAAAAAGCCATCCGTTGAGCTGCTGTGGTGGTTCTTTTGTGCCCTTTTGATGCAGTGTATCTGCACACTGCACCAAGAGGGTGCCCTGATGCCATGCGCTGTGCATCATACCCTGCTCCAACTCCACCCCCAAGCCAGCCCTTTAGGCTGGTCTGCATCGGCCCTAAGTAATTCCATAACATTGAGCCATGGCAATTAAAGTGGTGTCAAATGGCATTAATTCTGCAGTGTAGATTAGGAGTAAGTCTGCATCTACAATTTTATTGAAGATATGTACTGATGTAACCCAATGCTTCTCCTTTTTCAGTCATATCAGAAGGAGATATTCTATACCTCCTTCTCAATGGCATCCTCCATATACACTATCTCAGTTTGCTGGCACTAATCAAACACTAATCAATGGTTGTAAAGGAGATAAGGCTCTGGGGTGCTATCTGTCTGCAGTTTTGCAGTTAGGAAAAAGGGAAAAATTGTTGCACTCCTGGACTTCCAGTGAGCCTTCCTAGACCTCCATCCTTGTTGAAGGTTCAAGGTAACAATGGCCCTTCCTTTCCCCCACTGCAAAACTGTTGCCCAATAGTGAGACTAATACCTAGACCAGGGGTAGGCAACCTTTCCCCTTTAAGGGCCGAGGCTCCCAGAAGCCTCAGCCATGTTGGCCAATAGTCCCATGTTGGCCAATAGCTCCTGGGATTCTGGGAGTTGAAGTCCCTCGGCCCTTAAAGGGGAAAGGTTGCCTACCCCTGACCTAGACCATGGGAATGGCCCCAAGACCAACATACTATACTGTGCCACCAGTGGCAATTCCATAGAGCCCAGGCAGAGGCAGACTACATTAGTAGACACTATGCCAGCATCCAACAGCCTAAACTGTTAACCCAGTCAAGCCAATGCCTAAGCCTAAGCCTAACCCTAGTATCCCAGTAGACATATTCATCCAACAAATTGTGAGTCAACACATAGGTGAATTCCAGTGAGTGAATGAATCTACTCTAGTCAGGTTTAAGAAGAAGAGTTTAGGCCTATATCTGTATGCTTCTGAATTACCAGTTACTGAGGAACAATAGTGAGGGTGGGCTATTGCTTTCATGACATAACTGTGGGCTTTCAAGAGAAATCAGATTGGCCATTATTGAAAACAGGATGCTGGAGGTGATAGACCTTTGGCTTCAGCATCTTATGTTCATCTGAATTGAGTGAGGAAGTCCACTTTAACTGCCCTGACTCAGTGCTAAGGAATCATGGGAACTATTGTGGGACCAGAGCTCTCTGATAGAGGAGGCTCAATGTCTCAGAAAAAAATACAATTCCCATGATTCCCTAGCACTGAGCCAGGGCAGTTAAAGTGGACTCAATTTGCAATATTTCCGGCAGTCTGCAAAAAGAAGGCGGGATCGCTGCTTGAAAGCTATCCCACCTTCAGTTCCC